CTATGAAATTTTTTTATTTTCTACTGTGTACTTTTTACATTTTTTTCCCTTCTTCCCCATCCCACCCTAGAGATAGTTACTATTAGAAACAAATATGTATATATATGTATAATCATCTATTTATCAATTCTTTCTCTGGCAACAGATACCATCTTCCTTCATAGGTCCTTTGTAGTTGATTTAAGTACTTATAATACTCAAAATGACTTGGTTGCTCAAAGTTCTTAAAACAATATGGCTTTACTGTATGCAACATTCTCTTGGTTCTGATCATTTTAGTCTTCATTATTTCATACAAGTCTTTCCGTGGTTTTCTAAAATCAATGAGCTCATCATTTCTTGTAGCACAGTAATATTCCATCATGATTATATTCCACGATTTGTTTAGCTGTTCCCCAATTGATGGGCATCCCTGAAATTTCCAGTTCTTTGCCACCGCAAGGAGAGCTGCTATAAATATTTTAGAACATATGGATTCTTTTTCTTGTTCTCTAATCATCTTGGGAAACAGACCTAGTTCAAAGGGTATAGACAGTTTAATAATGCTTTGGGCATAATTCTAGCTTGCGCTACAAAATGGTTGGATTAGTTTGCAGTTCCACCAACAGTGAATTAGTACGCCATTTTTTCCACATCCCCTCCAACATTTGTCACTTTCCTCTTCTTTAACCAATCTGATAGGTGTAAAATGATATGTCAAGGTTGTTTTAATTTGCATTTCTCTAATCGTTAATGATTTAGAGTATTTTTTTCATAGGATTATAAATTGTTTTGATTTTTTCATCAGAAAACTGCCTGTTCATATGCTTTGACATTTATCAATTAGGGAATGACTTGTTTTCTTATATAGATTTGACAAAGTTCTATATATATATTTTAAATACGAGACATTTATCTGAAGAATGGTCTATAAAAATTTTTCACCAGTTTTCTGCTTTCCTTCTGGTCTACATTGGTTTTATTTGTACAAAAACTTTTTAATTTAATGTAATCGAAATTATACATTCTACACCTCACAATGCTCTCTATCTCTTGTTTATTCATAAATTGTTATCCTATCCACCAGTCTTGATAGGTAATATGTTCCATGTTCTTCTAATTTTCTTTATATTTAGGTCACATATCCATTTTGACCTTATATTGGTAAATGGTATAAATGTTCTATGTCTGATTTCTTTTTTTTCTTTTTTAGGCAATTGGGGTTAAGTGACTTGCCCAGGGTCACACAGCTAGTGTCAAGTGTCTGAGGCCAGATTTGAATTCAGGTCCTCCTGACTCCAGGACCAGTGCCCTATCCACTGTGCCACCTAGCTGCCCCATAGTTTTCTTTCTCTATTTTTACTCTTCCTGGTTTAGGTATCAGTAACATTTGTCTCATAAAAGGAGTTTGGTAGGACCACTTCTTTGACTCTTATTCCAAATAATTTATTTAATATTGGAATTAGTTGGTCTTTAAATGTTTGGTATAGATGCCCTCTTAACCCCTTTTCCCCATCCTTACTTGTTTCTGTGTCAAATTGTGCATGCATGTGTGTGTGTGTGTGACCACCTTTTATCAGTTTCGAATAAGTGACATTCATCTGATGCCTGTTCATTCACCCCTTCCTCTATGTTTCCATATTCCTCTCAAGTATTCCAATTATGAAAAATAGAAAATTTTACCCCCTTCTTCCTTCTCTCTATAGTAGTCTATTTCTTCTTTTACACCTTCCCTTTTCTTTCCTTTTCATAAAACTCTTAGAAGAGAACTAATCCACCCCAGGACTTCTCTCTTATTACTAACTCTATCAGTACCCTTTAAAGAAAATAAGGCTCTGAAGAGACGTTTGTTTCTTTCCTGCCTATATCATCATATAGCTCCCTCTAGTTGCCTCAGATAAATTTACCTTCCTAGGTTTCTCTTGACTCTGGTATTTATATGTCAGAGTTCTCACTCAGTTCTGATGTCTTTTTATCAGAAATGCTTGAAAATCCTCTTTTCCAATAAAGGTATTTTTTTCCCCTGAAGGATTATACTCAACTTAGCATGGTAAGTTATTCTTCCTTATAAACATATCTCTTTTGCCTTTTAGAATATTACATTCCAAGATCTCTTCTGGTTTTTAAAAGAATGATCTTGACTAATTATTGGTACTTGAACTGTTTCTTCCTGAATGTAATATTTTTAGTTTGACTTGAGTGTTCTGGCTTTGACATTCCTGGTACTTTTCCTTTTGGGAGATTATCAGTGGATTCCTTCTATCTCTTCATTTTGGTTCTAATACAGGTATACCTCAGAGATATTGAGGGTTCAGTTCCAGACTACCTCAACAAAGACAATATCACAATAATGCAAGTCATACAAATTTTTTGGTTTCCCAGTGCATATAAAAGTTATGTTTACATTATACTGGAGTCTATTAAATGTGCAATAGTATTATGTCTTAAAAATGTACATACCTTAATTAAAAAATACTTTATCGCTAAAAAAAAATTGCTAACCATCATGTAATCTTTTTGTTGGCTTTTTGCCTTGGTTGATGGCTAGTGGACAAGGGTGGTGGTTGCTGAAGGCTAGAGTGGCTGTGGCTGTTTCTTAAAATAAGCAGCAATGAAGTTTTCTGCATTGATTGACTTTTCCTTTCACCAAAGATTTCTCTGTAGCATACAATGCTGTTTGATAGGTAAAATGTTAAAAAAGATGTTAAAAATTATGTTAAATATGTTAAATTATGTTAAAAAAATGTTAAAAAAAGTGGGTAAAATGTTACCCACAGTAGAGCTTCTTTCAAAATTGGAGTCAATCCTCCCAAACCCTGCTACTGCTTTATCAACTAAGTTTATGTAATATTCTTTAATATTGTTGTGTCTCAAGGAATAGAGAAGCCTGAGGAGTGGGAGAAAGATAGGGGAACAGTACGTCAGTGGAGCAGTCTGAACAGATGGCATTTTTCTATGAGCTCACTGTCTTATATGGGTATAATTTGTGGTGCCCCAAAACAATTAGAATAGTAACATCAAAGATCGCAGATCGATATAACAGATATGATAATAATGAAAAAGTTTTAAATATTGCAAGAATTACCAAAATATGACACAGGGACATGATGTGAGCACATGCTGTTGGAAAAATAGCGCCGATAGATATGCTTGATGCAGGGTTGCCATAATCTTTCAATTTGCAAAAAACACAATATCTGCAAAGCTCAATAAAAGGGCAATAAAATGAAGTATGTTTGTAGATCTGGGCAGTTTTCATTTGTGATTTCTTGAAATAGAGCATCCAGGTCTTTTAAAAATATATATATGGTTTTCAGGGAGTTCAAAGATTCTTAAGTTATCTCTTTGTCCTGTTTTCCAGGTCAGTTTTTTATATCAAGTGCCTTATGTTTTGTTCTTTTTTTTCCCAATCTTTTGATTTTGTTTTAATAATTCTCATGGAATCAATTAATTGATTTCTTTTTGGTCTATAATGGCTTCAAGGATTCCATTTATTTGGTAAGTTTTACCACTTTCTCTTCTAAGCCACTGATTCCTGTTCTGGTTCATTCCTTGAGAATTTTTATTTCATTTTTTAATCTCTTCCTTCATTCCATTTATGTATTCATGCAGTCCTTATGGAAATTCCTTTTTTTTTTTCTCTGAGTCTTTGCTTGCAGTTCCTTTGCAGTTAGAATTGCAGTAATTTTTGATAGTGGTTAGAATTTTCTTTGGTTTACTCATCTCTTCAACTTTAGTTACTGAATTGGGGCTGTGCCCCACACTGAACTGTTGGGTGTGAGGTCATTCCTGCTAAGCTTGTCCTGGGTCCTCTGACCTCTACTTCCCCAGGTTGCCTTCCTTCCCTCCCTCTCTAAGGAATTTCTGTAGCATCTTAGGAGCGTGTGTAAGGGACCTCAGATTACTGGACCTGGATCGTCCCAGCTGAGTGATGAGGCACCACACTGCCAACTTGGCAACTGCTGCTCCCTGGGAGAGCTTTGCACTCTTGTTGCCTTTTACCCAAAACCTTTCAAGCTACACACGTTGTCACTGGTTGCACTAGCACTCTGTGTGTTGAAGGGGCCTTCCTTTCCTTTTGTTTTTGGGTGACTTTTTGTGCCGTTCTGGTGTAGAAGATGTCACCATAGGTTATCATTTTATTTCTTAATCACTTTTAATCTGTTGTGGACTTCAGAGTTTTACTGAAGTATGTTTGTGTAAGCTGGGAGACCTACCTGCCTCCTGTTCAAGCAGCCATCTTAGCAGAGAGTAGCCTTATGTCCTTAATCTTTCTAAACCTTAATTCCTTTTCTATAAAAATGAGTATTTAAAAAAAATTGGGTATAGTACTTACACCACTTCCTTCAGGGATGTTGTGAGGATTCAGCACAATGTATAACATTTGCAAACCTTAAAGCATGTTATAAATGTTGGTTGTTATTTTTGTATCTCCTACAGTACTAGTTGAATAATTACTGTAAAAGCAAAATTTGAGAGCATTGATCTCTTCTCTTTTCAGTGACAGTCCTGTTCTCTTCTTCTCTATCTTTCATATTCAGAATGGAATTTTGAACATACATATTAAAGTATCCTTTTCCATCAACCCTTTTAGGTATTATCTCAAGTTAATTTTTTAAAATGGTCCTGAAAAAACCCTTTGGATTTTATTTAGGGTGGAGATCAGAATTAGATACTGAAGATGAGAAAGAACAGGGGTGGGTGTTTAGTATGGAGAAAGACCCTATCTGAAGTAGTGCGAAGTCTTATTTGTAAAATATTTTCAAAAAAGTATATTTTATTACTATTCTAGCTCCACATTACTAAAGTTAAAGCATATATCCTTCCTTGATGTTAACAAATGGCAAAATACAAAAATTTGAAATTATATGTACCATCAACCATCACTGTATTACACAATTTTGTCTTTTTTTTTTTACTAGAATTTAAAAATCAGAGAGGGAGCATGGGCCAGCTCTTACATTCTGTTTGTGTGACTTGATTTTGTGTGGGGTGTGTGTATATATTTTTCTGCCTTGCAGCCATACATACTGCTGCTATGGATATGCTAGGAGGATCCGGTGTTGAAAGCCAATGCAGAAAAGCTGACATCATTGCCGATGCTGCATATTCCATATTCAGTAAACCAAAAAGTTTTACTGGCAATTTTATTATCGATGAAAATCTGTTAAAGGAAGAAGGAATTAAAAATTTTGATATCTATGCAGTTAAACCAGGTAAAGTTTTATGTTTTTTAAAAAGTTGATGGGAATACTATCTGTAGTGCTTTAAAAGTCAGATTATATTACTAGAATCAGCCTAGAATTTTAGAGTTGGAAGAGGCCTTGATAGTTATCTAGCCCACCATATGCTCAAAAGAAATCCCTGCTGTAGTATAAACAACAAATAATTCTCCAATCTCTGTTTGAAGACCTCTATTGAGGAGGAACCCACCATCTTCCAAGATAGCCCATTTCATTTATTTAATGGCTGTGGTTATTAGAAAGATTTATTTCTGACAAGTTTAAATTTGCTCCTTTGCAACTTCCATGTATTGTTCCAGGTCAATCCTTTGGGTCCAAATAGAACAAATCCAATTCTACCACATGACAGCCCCTCAAATACTGGAAGACAGCTGTCATATCCCTCTTCATTCATCCCTTCTCCAGCCTAAACATCAGAATTCAAATTATCCAAAATAAAAAATAAAGGCTAGTTTTTCAAATTGGTCTCAGATTTTTAAAATGGAGATTTTGTTTAGAAGTCTTATATTGGAAAACCTGCTTTTTCCAAACCTTTTAGGTCTGTGAAACTTTTCTGAAAATCTCTCTCATATGTACTATATTGTTGGGGAAGGACAAGATTATTGTGGCAGGCAGAATGATGGTCTGCTACCTCATGTGATCTGCATATCCCTGTGAAGACCTCTCTGCCTTAATCTATATCCTCCATTCTCATGCCTTGCTTAAGAATTCTACACCTTAGCTCCTTTTAGATATAGGAGGCACTGTGCCTTATGTATCAGATGCTTAATAATTCTGTTCAATCAATTGGATTTTAAGACTTTGTGGTCATTGAGACATTCTCTTTAGCAGTTGGTTGGTCAATCAACAGGCATTTATTAAGCACCTACTTTATGCCAGGCTGTGCTAAATGCAGGGTGCTTCTAGGAAAAAATAATGCATTAAGCAATATTTATTAACATCTTATTGGGTAATTAGTTTATCATTGTATTTCTAATCATATCCACTAGCCAAGAATAAGCCTCTCTAGGAATGGGACACAAGGTCAATGTCTTCAATTTTTATGGAATTCTTTTCATTTATTTACCTATTTGGTTTTGGATTACCTTTTTTAGGCCACCCTTTATTACCAGATTTCTTTTTGGATGAATACCCTCAAATGGTTACCAAGGAAGTAGAAAAACAACAAGGTAAGGTGATGATTTTACTTTTTGTAGGTTTGTAATGATAGGAATATATAAATGTAGTCTAAAATAAAATAATTGCCCTCAAAAAATGACACCTGCTTCTGCTGTGAAAGCTCTTGATAAGTTAAAGTATAGGGTAAATAATTAGGATCCTTTAAACCCCACTCCCAGTCTCCCAAGTAAAGAAGGGTTTTATTTTCCTCCTACCGGCTGCAGACAGAAAAAAGTCAGAGACCCTTAATATTATCCTTGCAGCCATTTAAAAAAAATTATTGGGAAATTCAGTTCAATTCAACTCAACATCTATTAAATGCCTACTATGTGCTGAGCACTGTGCTAGGCTCTGGGGGAGATGCAAAGTTGAGACAAGATAAGGTCCCTACCTCTTGGAGCTTGCAGTCTAGTAGGAGGATATGACAGGTATGAAAATAACCACAATAGAAAATACACGTGATAAGTACATAAGGGAGGTACAAACACAGTCTTCTTTATAGCATCACAATTAGCTTTTGTTTTTCTTCCTATTATTGACTCTTTAAATGTTGCTTTATTTTGGAGAAGAATTGGGTAACATCAGAGTGTGTTGGAGCCTTGTTATAACACTGTTTTCAGGGTCAATACCATGGGACGGGTTAGGTAAAGTAGCCTGATAATGAGATTTAATTGTAACTTATTTTAAAAAGAAAGCTAAATAGATCCTAGAGGGACCCCATCCCCCCTGCTAAGTTCTCCTCTCTAGTGAAGAGTTATAACAAGTTTCCAGTATATTAGTTTTTCCTGATTTCTTCCCTAGTTAGAACTTGGACATCTGGTATTCAGAAGGAGAAAGTTCTTTCAAGTAACCAGTTTCCGGGTAAACGTTCAGGTAATGAGTGCTTTTGCCATCAGAAATTGTAGGGTGTCCAGTGTACACACAATTGAGAGGCAGTGTGGTGTAGTGGATAGAGAGCAGGACTTGGAGTCAGCAAGACCTGCTGGGTTCAAATCCTGCCTCAGATGCTGGCTGGCTTTGTGATCTTGGGCAGGGCATTGGACCTCTCTGGGCCCCAGGTCCTCATCTGTAACATGAAGGGGGGTTGGACTAGCTGGTTATTAAGGTCCCTTTCAGCTCTAAATCTGTTATCCTATGACTTAACTTCTCTGAGCCTCACTTTCTTCATCTATAAAATGGGAATTTTCTTAGCACTTAACCTCACAGGGTTGTTGTAAGAATCAAATGAGATAGTGTAAGTGCTCCATAAACCTTAAAGCACTTTGTAAATATCAGCTATAATTATAATTATTATTAATTGAAGTATTTGTTATTCATACATTCAAGACTGTGTTGATTTTAGAGCTTTCCATCCTCCTACCCCTTCTCCTGCAACCCATTAAAGGAAGCCCCCTTTGCAAAGCAGGTATTGCTCTCGTTTGTTTTGGGAGGCCAAGTCTACTTTTATGCCAGTGGGTAAATTTTATTTCTCTTTTTGGTCAAGACCTGTGATTCATTGCATCACTGTAAGGAACTCTCAGCATGGAAACCCTGCCCACTGATACCGATGGGTAACTCTTCTGCAACTTTTTAGGCTTAGACAGTTTCCTGGGGCCAACTGAGAGGTTAAGTCACACAACTAGTGTGTATCAGAGGCAGAACTTGAACCCAGTTCTTCCAGACTCCAAGGCCAGCCCTCTATCCACTATGCCCTGCTGCCTCTCAGTGTGGGGTGGGAGTGGGTAGGGGAGCTATATCTTATCTCAACTTTGCATCTCCCAGAACATAGTTGGGCACTTAATAAATGTTGAGTTGAATTATTAAACTGAATTTAAGCAGTTTGTTGTTTCCTCCAGTTGATAGGTGGTGGTGATATCATAGGGAACCTATTAAACAAAAGCATCTCAGAACTATTTCTAATCATTCTCTGAGTGGCTGATGTCTTCAAATGGAACAGTCTGGTGGTATGTAAAGTTATTAGATGTTACCATTTTATTAATCTTCTAGTGTCCATTAGATGGGCTAAGTAATGCACATTAGGTCACAGGCTTTGGTCAAACTGTAAATATAGGTTTGCATCATGATATACAGTGTTTGATAGGTACCTGTTTAACTAATGCTTAATGTTTGGCCTTATGTTGCTGAGATTTCAAGTGCAAAAATTACCACCTTTCCAACAGATGCAGCTCCACCAGCAAAAGATTGGAAACAGTATCTACAACAACCAAAATTAGCTGCTGGAGCAGTTGAAGAAACATTTAAAATTCTTAACACAGCTCTCAGTGAAGATATTGTGAAAGCTACTCAGGCAGTTTATCTGTTTGAACTCTCTGGTAAGGATAAATTCTATTAACTTTTGAATTCAATTTAGCAAATATTTATTGAACACCTACTATTTTAAGTGGAAGAAAGTCAAGAACATTAGTAATCTCCTTGATAATTAATTATGTTTAGATTGCCTGGTACTTTTAAACCCCACTTGACATATCTTCATTTTTCAAAGGAAGCCTTACTGCTTTGACCTGCTATTTCCAAGCAAGGTTGTTTAGGCTTTTGCCTCTAAGAGTTAGGGAATACAAAGTAAACTACTGAATTATAAGGCACAAACCAATTTTGGGGGACAGAAAAAGAAGTAACTTTTAGTCTTCTAAATAGGATATTATGTTGTTGATAAGTAGTGTTAAGAAAAAGCCAATTTATGCAGCTATATTCTAACATATTAAACTCCTGTATCTCTTTTTAGTCCATTGTCAAGTTCGATGAAGACAATTTTGATTTTATGTTGTGCATAGGTGAAGATGGTGGAACTTGGTACCTTGATCTTAAAAACAATGGTGGGAATGCTGGATCTGGACAGCCTAGTGAACCAGTAGATGTGGTAATGACTATGACCACAAGTGATTTTGTGAAAATGTTTTCGGGTGAGTTCCCAAATAAGTCCATCTCATGTATTGTATGTGTGTATATGTGTATGTGTTTTAAGCTAGTATGAATATAATCTTATTTTAAAGTGTATGCTTACTCTCTTCCTTAGTAATCAAAGATAAAAACTTTTTAAATCTGGGGAGTTCCCATGAATCTTGAGCAACTCCTTACATTGCAGAATAGTTGCTGAATCATCCCTATTCCTATACTTACTGCTGCCATTGCTATAGCCATTTTCCTCAGTCCTGAACTCTACCTGGGTAGAGTGAGTTGGAAATCAACTTTCTTTGTATATTACTAGCAAGCAATTATTCAGGGGAACAGAGCAATGGAGACAAAGAATTATAGTCTTAAAAAGAATTCTTACACTTGATTCATTCCTGGTAACCAGGTGGAAATTATCTGTTTTCAACAGCAATGTGATCAACAAAAATGTTGAGCTTAAGCCCAGGACTGTTTATGGAGAAATAGGAATTTGTTAGGGAACATTCAGATATGGCTGCTTCTTGATAAAGAACACCACAATGCCAGTCTTTCTTTGAAACTCCTGAGCTGCTTCTGCTAGTCTACCCATTTATATCTGGGACCAACAGAAAAGTCTCTTAGGAGGTGATTTAATCTACAATCCATTTAGAGGCGTACCAGAAAAAGTAAATTATGTCCTATGCTCTAGAGCCACGTGTTTATGTAAGAGCAAGGGTCTCCAAGTTGTATGGAGTGCTGCTACAAGTAGGGCTCAGGCAATTTCAGACACTAATTAAAGTAATAGTGTAATAGGCAGGTCCAGTTCCATTTATTTTAGTTCAGCAAACATCTCCTGTGTATACATCACTGAACTCTAGATGCTGAGGACAAAAATGAAACCCCCTGTCCTTAAGGAGCTTAAATTATACTGTCAGTAAACATATACACAGATAACTAAATAGAATATATTTAGAAAATAAATTCAAAGTAATTTTGAGAATCAGAGGTATCACTCTCAATTGAGGGAGTCAGGAAAGGCTTCATATGGGAAGTAACATTTGAGCTGAGGTTTGAAGGAACCTAAGGATGCCAAGAGGTAGAAATGAGGAGCGGGAGCATTCCTGGAAAGGTTCTCACTTGTGCAAAAATGCAGAGATGGGGAATGGATTGTCCTCTACAAGGAACAATAAATGTGGCCAGTTTAGCTAGATCATGAGAATCGGTAAAATTTATCCTAGAGGCAGTAGGGAGCCACTGAAACTAAACCATCTGGGCTTTTGGAGGATGGATTAGAGAGAAGAAAGGAGAGACTTGAGGCAAAGAGACCAATTAGGAGGCTGGTATAATGGCCCAGATTAAGAGGTAATAAAGACTTGAACTAAGGTGGTTGTGATGATGTAAATGGAGAGGCAAAGATGGTGGTGAGAAATCTTTAGGGAGGGGGTAATAGAGAACAAGACCTAGCAACTGATTAAATATGAGAGGTGAGTGAGAATGAAAAGTCAAGGATAACCCCAATGTTTTGAACCTGAGTGACTAGAGAGTGGTATTCTTTTTTTCTTTTTTAAAGGCAATTGGGGTTAAGTGACTTGCCCAGGGTCACACAATTTGTCAAGTGTTTGATCTGAGACTGGATTTGAACTCAGGTCCACCTGACTTCAGGGCCGGTGCTGTATCCACTGCGCCCCCTAGCTGCCCCTGAGAGTGGTATTCTTGACAGCAATAGAGAAGTTAGGAGAAAGGTTGGTTTTAGGAGTAAATAAATTCTATAATATTACTTATTATAACCAGAAGCTTTAGCTTTATTCTGTTTGCATCTTTATAATTTAAAGATCACATATCTCTTTTCTATTCTATATGTTTTGGTTTTGGACCAAAGCTACAAATTTCTGATTTGATCAGATAAGGATTCCTTTTTCAGCTGTAACCTGTAAACATATTTGGTCCAATGTATATGATTTTTCTCATCTTTTTAAAAACTTTAATTTTCCTAAAGTTGTGAAATTTCTCTGATTTTTTTTGACATGCCCTTGATTATGAATTTTTGCAAGTTAGTTAAAATCCTATCAATATGTCATTTTTAAGTAACTTATATGTATTGAAAATAAAAGTTTTTTGACTACTTCTAATTAAGAGAGATCAGGACATTCCTTTCATCTCACTTTTTTTAGTATGTGCCCTTGTGAACTGAATATACGGCATACTTTGTAAATATGATCATTTTTTTATCAATTGTTAATGGAGGGCCCATTTTTATTTTTATATCTCTTATAAATGTGTTCCTTTAGACTGACAAGTAAGGGCCATTGAATATAGCACAAGATTAACACAGTTTATGGACAAATTAAGGATTTTGCCATAGAATTAAGATTCCTTCTCTTTTTTCCCATTCTCTCTTTCTCTCTCCCTTTACATCTGTCCTTCCTTTTATTTATGTGGTTATAAGGTTGATTTTGAGGTAAGAAAACATTACCTATTACCACATTCTATGTCCTGGTTACTTAGCATATATTTTGTATTGACATCTATCTATCAATTGTTTCCTCCCCTGGAAAAGGAAAACTCCTTGAAGGCATGGACTGTGTTTGTCTTTTTGTCTTCTTTGCCTAGCACAATGCCTTTGCACATAGTAGACATTCAATAATTGCTTGGTAAATAATTTGGTAGGCATTTAATCAGGGTTCTATAATGAAAACGGTGAAATACTCCACCAGGTAGAATTGCCTCTTTTGGTCAATAGAGGGCATTGCAAGATAAAGTAAGATGACCTCATAAATGCTGTTTTTTTAATAAAAAATCCTTTAAAAGACAAATTTCAGTAAATTTTTAATTAGCAAAAAACATCTAAGATAAAATGTTACTTCTGGAGACAACCTTAAGCTTTTTAATTGAATAGAAATTTGGATAGATAGAGTGAATATTATTACTGTATACTTAATCACAATACATTGAGTTATTTTTAAAACCAGCTCATTTTATAGACTAGATGCAAGTATAGACTAAAAGCAAGTATTTATACATTGACTCATTTTCCCATTGAAAATGCGTTATAACTTTAGAGTTAGATTATCTTTTTGATTGCTAAGGTATAGTCTTCCAAATTACCTTCTCTCCTCTATTTCCCCTATTTGTTGTTGTTCAGTCATCTCTGACTCTTCGTGACCTCATGGATCATAGCATGCCTAAGACTGTCTTTGGGGTTTTCTTGACAAAGATACAGAGTGGTTTGCCATTTCTTTCTCCAGATGATTAAAGTAAGCAGAAGTTAAGTGATTTGCCCAAGGGTCACTCAGCTAGAAAGTACCTGAGGTCGGATTTGAACTCAGGTCCTCCTGACCCTAGACCCACTGCTCTATCCAAGGAACTACCTAGCTTTAGTTCCTCTATGTCCATTGTAAAATAGTTAATAGTGCCTCATATAGGGGTTCTTAACTTGGGATCTGTGAAATTATTTTTAAAATATTTTCATAACTATATTTCAATATAATTGTTTTCCTTTGTAGTCCTATTTTATTGATTTAAAAGCATTATTCTGAGAATGGGGTCCAACTGTCAAAAAGGTTAAGACCTCCCAATCTAGCACTTTGTAGTTTACAAAGCATTTCCCTCACAATAACCCTCTAAATTGAACTGTAAAAATTATTACCTCCATTTTTTTTTAACTTGCCTACAGTCCCATATTTAGTAGGAGAGAGAACTGATACTTGAACTCTGCTCTTTAATCCAAAATTTGAATGTACTACATGTTATTTAAAGAGGTGTTCTTAACCTTTTCAGGGAAGAGGGGTCATAGATCCCTTCGGCAAGTCTGATAAAGCCTTTGGACCCTTTCTCAGAAGAATGTTTTTAAATATATAAAATAAAATTCATATGATTACCAATGAAACCAATTATTTTGAAATACACATATCAAAATATTTTTTTAAAAAAAACAAGTTAACAGACCTCAAATTAAGACCCTCGGATTTAAAGGAACCCTGTAAGTCTTTATATAAAGGCAAAATTCCTTTTATAATAAATCTTCTGATTTACAAGTTTAGTATATTTCTTAATCATATTTCTTAAGTCAGATCCTTAAAATTTTAATTGTTTTGCAGAGTATATGAAAAATAGTGCTTAATATTTAGTTGTGAAACCCAAAACATTAATATAAATAAGCTTTTGAGAAAGTCAGATTTCAGGGATGAAGTTTTGATTAACAAATATAGGTCCTCCTGACCTTAGCACAGGAAAAAAAAAATCTGACACTACAGTTGTTTAGTACATCATTTTCCTTTGTCTCTGATAATCATAGTTAAAATCATTACTAATCTCATTCTTTATGTTCAAATTAGATAGTCTGCACGTTATAATTTAGTATGGCTAGCTACTATTTTGTTTCTTGTGTCCAGATCAGCAATAGAAGTTGAGGTGGAAGAAGAGCATCTTTGTGTCTGTATTTGTGAAATATAGTTGGTATTTTGGTGGTGGTGGTAGCATTTAAACAGTAATCCCCTTCATATAGTGCTTGTAATTTTTACATATAGGAATATGTCACAGCTCAAAAAGCTCCAGTGGCTTCCTCTTATCTATAAAATAAAATAGAGACTGCTCTTTGTGGCTTTTACAGCCCTTCAAAAATCTAGGTTGTGGTTGACTCCTTTCTAGGCTTACTGAACATTGCTCTCCTTTATATACTCTCCATTCCAGTCAAAGTAATCTGCTGGAGATTTCCTGTTCACAATACCCCATCTGCTATCTGTATGTCTTTTGCCCAGACTGCTGCCCCCCCAGACCTGGAATGCACTTTTTCTTCATCTCTCCTCCATAGAACTCCCAAGTTTCTTTCTAAACTCAAGCAGCATTCCAGAAGGCAGCCCACCACTGTTCCCCTAATAATTCGCTGTGCCCTTCTCCTGGAAATTGCTTTGTATCTGCCTATATCTATATATTTTATATTTACTGTTAATGCAATTTTCCTCCTTCCAACAACCCTTTTCCCCCCACCCCCCAAAAAAAGTATCTAAGCTCCTTGAATATAGAAACTATTTTGTTCTTGTATCCCTACCACCTAGTAAATTGTCTGGCTCACAGTAGGTATTTATTTTTAAATGCTTGTTAAATTGATGGATGAGTGAGTAGGTAGATAGATAAAAAAAATAGCATCATGCACAGACCATATATAGTGATTCCCTCAAAATAACATTACTTTTTTTTTATTAATAGTACATTCATTTGATCTCATTTAAAGTTTAAAACTAAAATTTGTGATATATTTTGAAATAAACTACAAAAGTGATGTCTTCTTTATCACCATTTATTTCAGTGACTTTAAATGTGCTTACTTAGTGTTCAGGTTTTGATTATTTAAATGCAGAATAGATCTTTTCCCCTCTAGTTTTTGTTTCCACTTAGTTTTTATCTTTTATATAATTCTTAGTTAACTTCTGGTCCTAGGAGTAGGGAATTTTCCCACTGTGCTGTTGTAAAAAGCATTAATAAGAAGGATAACATCTCTGCACCTACCTCTAAAAAGAAAGTTATAGAATTGTAGTAGATTATTTCAGTAACAAATATCATAGCTTTAGTAAGCATATGTACAAGTGAAATAATGTGCATTTTTTCCATTTGATTTTTTTGTTTTTTCCTGTTTAGGAAAACTAAAGCCAACAATGGCATTCATGTCAGGGAAGTTGAAGATTAAAGGTAATATGGCTCTAGCGATCAAGTTGGAAAGGTTGATGAATCAGATGAACTCCAAACTGTAATAGGAATGGAGTTCTTGTTCCATATGTAAACCATTTGGCCTTAAAGAGTAAAAACTTCATTGTTTAAAATACTACTTTTCACTTTGTTTTGCATTTGTCTTAGTGAAAATTTGATTTTTAGCTTAGTTAAATGGAACCATAGGGTACTATTGTTTCTTACATATTCCTGGTAGAGAAATACTGGATCTAAAACCAGCTGGCTGAATTTTCATTTGTCACTAAGTATAGGCCAGAGAAATTCTCTTTGTTAGGACTAGGTGTTTTGCAGTGCATAAAATCATATTTTATCTTAAGGATCAGAAGTCAGAATTGGATATCTTTATAGCTTTATTCCAGATACTATAAGCAAGCTAGTTAAAATTGAAGGCTTTTTAAAATCTGGGATTAATGAAAGTCTTTGCTGATATTTTGGATTTTTAAATAGTTACATTTTTAAGAAGATCATCAGTAAGGTTAACATCTAATGAAATTTAAAATGTGCTGAGGTTTTTTTTGTTATTATTGGCTTTCTTGTCTGGTGCAAAACATCTACAAGAAAACAATTTAAATGT